TAGTGCATTTTACGTGCATATCTAGTGTTTCAGCTGTGTATTTTCCCGTTATTAGAAAGCTTCAAACTATGTAAATATTGGTGTCTCAGTAAGGCTGATCTGTGTCTATTTGTAGCCAACAGAGGGCAGTATGTTTTCAGTGCGGCCATTCTCTAAAAAGACAGCCAGCAACCACTACATAAACAAGGGGTGCCCAAACTCGGTCCTGGAGGGCCGGTATCCTGCAGATTTTAGCTCCAGCTTGCCTCAACACACCTGCCTGGAAGTTTCTAGTATGTCTAGTAAGACCTTAATTAGCTGCTTCAGGTGTGTTTGATTAGGGTTGGAGCTAAACTCTGCAGGACACTGGCCCTCCAGGACCGAGTGTGGGCACCCCTGACATAAACCAAACCACTACATTGCAATAGAATTTTAAAATGAAGAATTTTCATCCTACTCAAGACATTTTCATTCAGTGATAGTGGGAGACCATGGTTGGATGGGTTAATTTCAGTCATAATACTGCCACAGATTGTAAGATATATAAAAGTTTGCCCTCTGATTTTCATTGAGTCTATCAAGATATTAAAATTAATCGAACATATCGAGGTGAGGGAACTTGTAACCTTACTTTGCCAAAAGAAAAATGAACTATTTTCTAAACACTTATAATTTAAATAAAATAATGTTGAAGAAATATATATGAATATTATTTTAGGCTATCAATCATGGGAACCAGTTAAATTTTGATGTAAGACATGCAAGCCTGATAAATTGTTACATAGCAGACAAAATATTTTTTATCATGCCTTCATCATCTGTTTTGATGAATGAAGGCTACTTTTCAAAAGACTTATAAAGATTTAATTATTATTATTATTACTATTACCCTTGTCCCAGATCCAGACATTCCAATAATGAGCATTCATTATCTAAAATATGAGTTCTTACATGTTTTAAACTATAATCCAAAATAATAATAAATCACTTTAATTGGCCTATTTATTAGATGACATTTTTTTTTACCCCTCATATATTTTAGCTAAATAGCAAGGTAAATAAAGTAGTGTAACAACTACAAAGTGTAACATATTTAGATTAAATAAGTTTAGTTTTTTTAAGTTAAGTTTAGCATGTGCAGGATCATGATGCATCAGCCAATGCTTTATAGGCAATAAATATGCTAATTTAGTTGTTATTACACAAAATGTCAAATATTAAAGGAGGGGTAAGATGGCCCCTACTGGGGAAGTTGTTCCCCCACCTGAGGTAGCCTAACTTTATCAAGTGTTATTAATGTAAAATACTAAATCATATTTAAAATTTTATTTTGACAATTTAGCGAAGATGTTTGAAATGCACATCTAATTCATGGAAATATTAAATAATATTAAATAATAATAATAGCCTAATGTTAAATAATAAGCCCACTAATTACAATAAGTATTAAATTTAAAAATAATAAGACTATAACAACATGCCACTTGGGTCCTTAAGTGCCAATTCTGGTCTAATTTGATCTTTTTCCTTTAAAATAAAAACTATAATTGTATTGTGCGTCAAGAAACTTGTATTTGAACAGTTAGTAGGCGGATTAAATAAACTGGAGCGTGTTAAAATCATCCTGGCTAAAAGTGCCCATAGCTGAAGAGAAACAATAGCAAGCTGAAACTCAATTTTTTTTGTTGTTGTTTTTTACAAGCTGAAACTCAAGCCTGTGAAACCTCCGACCCTAGTGACGTAATGTAAAGAAAATGGCAGCGGCCTCACCCAGTGGAAGGTAGTTTACACGTTTGTTTGCTTTGATAATTTGTTATTACACTGTAACCTGGAGCGCTCTCTTTGTTATAAAACAGCTGATTAATTTATATAGTGTTTAATTATTTTATTATTTTCATCAACAACAAAGAGAAACACGGCGTTATTATAAGCGGTCATAGACACGAATAATTTCCTAGGACAAACTCTATATCAGTTGTTTTAGTAATTCCGGTGTGATGGAGCAACTGGGGATCATGTTAACTCAATGGGGATGTGCGCGTGCATATGAGCTATTTTGCGTCCCTTTCCAGCAGATTCGTCAAAAGCGACTGCAAAGCTGTAATGAAAAGACGTTGGTACATTCTTAATGTTCTTAATAAATGTTGACGCAATTATTACGCTGTGTTGTTTCCTCAATACCTGTTTTAATGCATGCGACACAGTTTAAGTGTCATTTTAACATGATTTCACGTAGTGACATGGTTCACAAACCACGCCCACGTTATCTTGGCACATTCACTTCTATGGAAAATGTATATTTCAAGTGTAATTCACTTCTATATTCACTGAGTGAACATAGCGTTATTTAGCAGTCTGTTATTTACACTAAGTGCAAATAGCGATAGATTTTATTTACACTGTTTAAAAATAGCAGTATGTTTGCATTAAGTGTAGATAGATGCTATTTATACTTAGTGGAAATAATGGCAGATACTCTATAGTCTAAAAAAAGTATGCAATAGTTAAAATGAAAATATTTATTAAAGTTATCAAATTAGTCCTCTCTACACCTACCCCAACCCAAATACTTACCAAATAGCTATTTTGGTACTTTATTTCCACATTTCCCGCGAGTGTTTATATTCGTTTTTATTGAAAATAAACACATTTTGGATCAGCTATGGGATGTGCGCGTGCATATGAGCTATTTTGCGTCCCTTTCCAGCAGATTCGTCAAAAGCGACTGCAAAGCTGTAATGAAAAGACGTTGGTACATTCTTAATGTTCTTAATAAATGTTGATGCAATTATTACGCTGTGTTGTTTCCTCAATACCTGTTTTAATGCATGCGACACAGTTTAAGTGTCATTTTAACATGATTTCACGTAGTGACATGGTTCACAAACCACGCCCACGTTATCTTGGCACATTCACTTCTATGGAAAATGTATATTTCAAGTGTAATTCACTTCTATATTCACTGAGTGAACATAGCGTTATTTAGCAGTCTGTTATTTACACTAAGTGCAAATAGCGATAGATTTTATTTACACTATTTAAAAATAGCAGTATGTTTGCATTAAGTGTAGATAGATGCTATTTATACTTAGTGGAAATAATGGCAGATACTCTATAGTCTAATAAAAAGTATGCAATAGTTAAAATGAAAATATTTATTAAAGTTATCAAATTAGTCCTCTCTACACCTACCCCAACCCAAATACTTACCAAATAGCTATTTTGGTACTTTATTTCCACATTTCCCGCGAGTGTTTATATTCGTTTTTATTGAAAATAAACACATTTTGGATCAGCTATATGATGGGGAAAAATAAGATAAATTAAACTGGTTAAAGCTGGATTTGAACTCGGATTAACCGTATCCAAAGATGCTGTCGTGCATTTTAGTTTCGACGCCACTGACGCGGACGACAGTTGTGTGATTTTGCCTGACCCAACCAGGCACTGGTGGGTGGAATGAGTGATTTTGCCTGACCCAACCAGGCATGGGTGCGATGAATGAGTGATTTTGCCTGACCCAACCAGGCATTGGTGGGTGGAATGTGTGATTTTGCCTGACCCAACCAGGCATTGGTGGGTGGAATGTGTGATTTTGCCGGACCCAACCAGGCATTGGTGGGTGGAATGAGTGTAAATAAAGCAAATTGCGCTACTGATGTGGATGTATGTGGTCATATTGTTGACTCAAATATTGCAATAAATAATACATTACTCAGGTTCAAAATGTTTTTTTTATATTTATTGTTTAATGACGGTGCCTTGTCAACAATGTTAAATAAACAATTTAAATATAATATATAAATTGTTGCTATTTATTTATATATTTAATGTACATCTAGTCAAAATTACTCGGTTGCCATTCGCGTCAGTGGCGTAGGGACTTAAATGCACGACAGCATCTTTGGATACGGTTGATCGAATCCAGCTTTAATCAACTTCGTTCATCTTATTTTTCCCCATCATACAGGTGCATCTCAATAAATTAGAATGTCGTGGAAAAGTTCATTTATTTCAGTAATTCAACTCAAATTGTGAAACTCATGTATTAAATAAATTCAATACACACAGACTGAAGTAGTTTAAGTCTTTGGTTCTTTTAATTGTGATGATTTTGGCTCACATTTAACAAAAACCCACCAATTCACTATCTCAACAAATTAGAATATGGTGACATGCCAATCAGCTAATCAACTCAAAACACCTGCAAAGGTTTCCTGAGCCTTCAAAACGGTCTCTCAGTTTGGTTCACTAGGCTACACAATCATGGGGAAGACTGCTGATCTGACAGTTGTCCAGAAGACAATCATTGACACCCTTCACAAGGAGGGTAAGCCACAAACATTCATTGCCAAAGAAGCTGGCTGTTCACAGAGTGCTGTATCCAAGCATGTTAACAGAAAGTTGAGTGGAAGGAAAAAGTGTGGAAGAAAAAGATGCACAACCAACCGAGAGAAATTTGAGTTGAATTACTGAAATAAATGAACTTTTCCACGACATTCTAATTTATTGAGATGCACCTGTATAACTGATCTAAAATGTGTTTATCTTCAATAAAATGAATTAAAAACTCGCGGGAAAGGTGGAAATAAAGTACCAAAATAGCTATTGATGAGTATTTGGGTTGGGGTAGGTGTAGAGAGGACTAATTGTCCCATAAGGCAGCATCCATTTGATAACTTTAATAAATATTTTCATTTTAACTATTGCATACTTTTTTTAGACTATAGAGTATCTGCCATTATTTCCACTAAGTATAAATAGCATCTATCTACACTTAATGCAAACATACTGCTATTTTTAAATAGTGTAAATAAAATCTATCGCTATTTGCACTTAGTGTAAATAACAGACTGCTAAATAACGCTATTTTCACTCAGTGAATATAGAAGTGAATTACACTTGAAATATACATTTTCCATAGAAGTGAATGTGCCAAGATTACGTGGGCGTGGTTTGTGAACCATGTCACCACGTGAGATCATGTTAAAATTACACTTAAACTGTGTCGCATGCATTAAAACAGGTATCGAGGAAACAACACAGCGTAATAATTGCATCAACATTTATTAAGAACATTAAGAATGTACCAACGTCTTTTCATTACAGCTTTGCAGTCGCTTTTGACGAATCTGCTGGAAAGGGACGCAAAATAGCTCATATGCACGCGCACATCCCTAGTTAACATGATCCCCAGTTGCTCCATCACACCGGTAATTCTGGGCGGTATAAATGTGATCATATGAGCTCATGTAATTGCGTTAAATTAAACGTTCGACCGCTTAAACGCGGAAGAACAGATGACATAATCAAAGGGAACTTCAGGGATCAGTTTCATTTGTCCCGAGCACTTTGTCAGAATGGCTGGAGGAAAGTGTGACTCTGATAATAATCAAGATTCTTCTGACGACTGCGTGGAAGAAAATTGTATTTTCTGTAAAATCGCAAACAGAGACGATCCATCCACTGAGATATTGGCGGAAGTAAGTACATTTTTATCTACTTGGTTCATATGGCTCAACTGCTTCAAAGGTGAATTAGATTAGCAAATTCGCCCCTCTTTCTAAATATAAAATTACAATAATAGGCCTATATATATATATATATATATATAAAAAGTTAATTGTAGTCATCAAGAAAGATGAACTGGGAAGGAAATATGATAAGCAGGATTGGTTCCGTGTTGCTTCGAGAACCGTAATTTAACGTTACTCTGATCCGCGAAGCGCGTTATATAGAGGACAACCCGTTCTCGATGTATTTACTTTTATAATGACATTGTTTAATGAGTCATTTAGAGGTTTTCATTCAAATTACTTATAGCTTTACGTAATAAGTAATTTACTGGAATAACATTATTGCCGGGTGTTGTCTAACTGTTGTCTGTGACCAGTCCAGGGGTCGCTGTTCAGCGGAAGCGGAGCCGAGCGGTGCTGCGAAAGAGGTTTCCTCTTAAGACTAGAGAAAACGTCCATTGGACAGGCTAGATATTGTCACGAGCATCTAAATGCTTATATATAAATGTAAACATTAATGCTGCTGTTGTTGTCTAATGTGTTACTAATGGTTTCGTTATGAGTTTTAGCGCTTGTTATGTACTGTAGGCTATAACATATTCTGATTATCTGATAAATGTAGGTCTTATCTTCGTTCTTATTACTGTTTACTGTAGTTACCCAATAATGTTGGAGATCAGTTTGTTCCTTACAAATGGATACGATAGAGTTGGCTAGGGTCACTGAATCTGACAAGTAAAAATTCATTGAAATGCTTTTATAGTAGCTACAGGAGGAAGTGCTTTGAAAAAAAAAAAAAGCTAAATGCTGTTAACTAATATGGTGACCATATGATTATCAAATATGAAAATGTAAATATAGTCATTTAATATTTATTATAAAATAGTTTGTTGAGGTTCTCAACTCTAATGGCCAAGTTGCATGAAACTGTGCTAGCTTATCTTAAAATAATTTTTGAGTCATATCTTCTGCTATGATCTCAGGAGGCGTGTGGTCATTTTTGATAGTCATTTCACCCTCATAAGTCAGTAGGGTCCAAAATCTGTACATACATATGCGCAGTAGTGTGCATGTTAACAAAATAAACACACATCAATCTTAGAATACACATAAAGTCATTTACTTACTGTTACAAATTCACAAGGTTCCCCTCTGTTTTTTGTAACATAAATATTCAATAATAATAATGCTTTTATAATACAATTACATAATTAGTATTATATACTGTAAATGTCAAGGTAACTATAAATGTAATGTGATTTTTTTTTTTTTTACAGGATGAGGACATTGTTTGTTTCCAGGACATTGATCCAGGTGCACCTCATCATTACCTGGTTATACCAAAGAAACATGTCCATAGCTGTTTGTCACTCCAAGCTGATGATATAAATCTAGGTAAGATGATGTCTTTTTTGGATGTGCATTTGATTATTAAATTGTGTATCACTGTTTTGTGAATGGCTTTTGTATTTGTAGCCAGCAGAGGGTAGTAGCACATAGAGTATTAAGTATTGAGCCCTGGTTTATTTAGCTTATTATTAGACTGACTATATATTAATTATAGTGATGATATTAACAGACAATACAATTACAGTTAACAAACAATACCATATTGATGACTGGGTGAATGTTTCAATTAATTGATTTTGTATAAAACATTTATTTTTATAAGATACAATATTAACATTCAGTGATTACATGGGATTTTTATATTTTTAATCTAAATGTGATTATCCTGAGCAGTGAAGAAGATGGCAGATATGGGAAGAGATGTACTGAAAGCCAAGAATGTCACAAATTTGGAAGACATCAGGTTTGAAGACAACACTACTATCATATTAATCAAGCATTTATTTGGATGAAGCAGTTATTAAATGAGAATATGACTGTATTTCAGTCTAGGTTTCCATGTGCCTCCTTATATCACTGTTCCCCACCTGCACCTCCATGTTCTAGCACCTTTCAGTCAATTGTTTAAATGGTCAAGGTGCAAGTATACAGCCATCTGGTACCTCAGTGTGAGTAAACTGAAAACCTTTCAGATATTTCTTTGATTACACTTGGTTGTATAAGAATTTAAAGTTTTAAAAATGTATAATTATTTCTCGTGTGTGTGTGTGTGTGTGTGTGTGTGTGTTGTCTTAAAGGAGGAGATGCTGCTTAAGAAACTGATGGAGAATAAAAAAGAAAACAATGGACATGTAACAATTGCATGCTGCCATGTGTAGCTATGTGAGCCTTATTACTGAACAAAAAACTTGAAATCACAAGGCACTTTAGTGAAGATCAGTGGTTTTCATTTTCATATTTTTTATATAATGCTAAAGTATTTTAAAGCCTGGGATGGTATTTTTTTAAATTTGACAATTACTATTTATAACTAAAGTGTAATCTAAACAATAATGTCTAATGTTATTAAATGGATGGAAATGTTGATTTTTGTGTGATTGATTATTTATGTTAGTACACATTTTACATGCTATGTTGTGAAAGATTTATCATACAGTGAGCCATGTTTTCTTCAGTGTTCATGGTCATGTTCTTTACATATTGATCAGAAGGCCACATCCTGTCTTAAGTGTGCGGTTCTTGGTGTGAATAAGCTGCTAAATGTGCCAAAGCACTACACATGCCAGAAACACATGAATGTTAATGGACAAAGGTTAAACAGATTTACAGTACAGTCATCGAAACATGGTAGCATGGATCATGCAAGTTTTATTTTGTTTTTATTCATTGAAATTAAAAATGTTTTGACCCTCTAACACCAGCTCTCTCTATTCTGTTTCTGTTCTGTCTATGCTTTATTCCTTTTATTTTATATTTATTATAAAACATTTTTTTTTTTAAAAAGCTTGCTACGTGTGCTGCGGTAGACCATCCTGTCACAGTGACCTGTCACGTCACTTACATATTGAATGAATGAAAAAACTTCAAAAATTCACAAAAAAGTTTCAGGAACAAGGAAACGTTTCTCATGTGACGTTTTATATCCAAATAATTTTAAAATCTATGTGTAAATAATTTATATATATATATAATTATATAATAACTATATAAAAGTCAAATATATAATATAAAAGTTATATTATAGCTATATAATTAGCTAATTCAATTCAACAATGTGACAAGGCAATCATGTCAACACATTTAGCTTAAATTACTTAAAACCCGTAGACTGTTATTTTCTCTTTTCCTCATTCTAGCTAAGGCAGACTAAAACGAGTGAAGATGTTTCCTTCATGGTCTATCGGCAATTTCCCTGTTGTTTCATATGTAAGAAAGTCCACTGTGTATACAAAAACGTGAAAAAATTGTTGATGATATTGTATCGATACCCTTGACCCATAAAGATGAAAGAATAGCCTTATGTATTCAAAAATTATTCATTAAAGACTTGTAATGTATTGTTGGTCTACCTATCAACAAGAATATTTTCTGATAATCCAGTATACTAATTTCATTTGAAATACCGTAAAGACCAAACATTTTGCCACATGCAATTAATTTAAAAATAAAGACAAAGCAAGTAATAATTATATAAGATCTTTTATTTAGCTGTTTTTTTTTAATAAACATTGCTTCAGAAAAACTGATTGAAAAAACAGTGATCAACTTGCACTGAAAATATGGCAAAACATGGCAAATACTTCATATTCCGGATTATTTAATCTAAAAGGGTCTAGAAAGTGCATATTCGACCACATTAGAATAATAAGATATAATAATGTAAATTATGTTACTAAATTATAGCCTATGCATATCTTGCAATACTACACAATTTCTAGCATAACATCAGATTAAAAGCTCATTTGCTTTCCTGTTAACTGTGACTTCAAACACTGGGTTTCAATGTCATTTACAGTACATGTTTACAGGTATCAAACTGCAAATGAAAAGGCATTTTTATGAAGGCAAATAGGAAGGACTATATGTTTTGAAGTTGTGAAGACTGTCTCTTTGATTTGTTTTAGTTGTTTAATTTGCTCTCAGATGTGTTATTGTTCACTTCAGTTCAGTAGTATCAGGTTTAATGATTGCTGAGAGAGCTTAGTTTTGAAAAACGATGGTCCTTTCCCTACATATCTCTGGCTACCCATTTTTTAAATGATAAACTGAAAAAAGTCAGTAGATAATGCAGCCCTCCAATGCGCAAGTCCTCACTGTTCACAATCAGTCAGTGTTTAGCACATGGAAAGCATCCACAGAACATTTTCTTGAATGGGTTGTTATTGTCATGTCTCTTGGCCTGTCCCAGTTTGATAAGGACTTCACCAAGCATAGCATCGGTTTTCTGAACATTGTTTAAGATGTAGTCTGTCATGGGTCCTTGTTCCTCTACAAGCATAGCCACATCCAGGAACACTTCATGAAGGCTCTGGAGTCGGCTTTCTAAATCCAGCAGGTCGCGATGTCGGCTCTCAATCTGGTTGAGTGCAGAACGAGCTGTTTTCCCTTCTGACATGATGTTATCATTGAAGATGTTCCACTGACCATTCTCCAGCATCTCCTCGATCTGGTCACCTGTCACCTCTCGGCCCACAATCTCCATTTGCCTTTGAATATGACGCTTGCACGATTCTTTGTGATTCATCTCAGCATCATTGTACTCTGTCATTGCGTCTCGGAAGTTGTTGCTTAGGGTGGTGTACTGTGTTCGGGTGATTCTCGCCACAGCTGAGTTGATGCCATGCTCCTCTTCGAGCTTTTTGGTGTGGGCATCCATTTTTTGTAGACGTGCCAGAACATCCTGTCCACGTGTCTTGATGTCACCTACGATGACATTGGCATCCTGCTTTACGTGAGTTGTACGAGTCGGTTGGCTAAGTATACGGGTATTTTGGTCCCTGAGACGCTTCACCTCGAGGCGGATGAGCTGAATCTCACGCCTAGTGTCCTGAGCCTTATCGAGCACAGACTCCATCTCATCACTGTTGTCATAAATGACGGCCTGCTGGCTGAAACCCTCCTCCAGATCCACATTGCTGAAAGAGTCGGATTCCAGCTCCTCTAGATGGCTGTTAGACTCAGAAATGGTCTGAAGATGATCCAGTCTGTCCCTCATGATTGCTAGAGGGGAGAATGAATGGAAAAGGACACTCAGTGCCACCAGACGTGATGGGTAATATGTGATCTGGTGTAGGCTAAACAATCGAAAACAAAATAGCAAAATTATAACGTTCATATTTATCCCTCATATAATTCTTGTTTTCCAGAATAAAATCATTGTCATTCCCTGTGTACCTTCTGAAACTGACTGTAAAGGGGGGAGATAATACTTCCTTATCAACACTGAAAAAGTCACACGTCTAACAAGTTCATCTGTGAAACTATTTCTGACTGCCGTCACTCACCAAACAAGTTTGAATGGATTGAACTGATAGTTCAGCTTTTGTTTCTTAACAAATGCTGTTCTCTTCAATTATTTTACAACGAAATGTATAAATAAGATACCCAAATATATCCAGCTTTATTCGAGCCACTAAAGCTTTACAATTTACAAATGTGTAAACCCGTCTCTTCTAACTTCTAAAAATCTCAAATTAAAGATTTAATTAAGTTTTTTAAATTTTACTATTTGTTTCATTATAAAACAATGTTGTATAGGCTACATTTTAAAGCAGGGGTGTCCAAACTCGGTCCTGGAGGGCCGGTGTCCTGAAGAGTTTAGCTCCAACCCCAATTAAACACACCTGAACCAGATAATCAAGCTCTTACTAGGCATACTAGAAACTTAAAGGCAGGTGTGTTGAGGCAAGTTGGAGCTAAACTCTGCAGGACACTGGCCCTCCAGGACCGAGTTTGGGCACCCCTGTTTTAAAGCATTTTACATGTTTACACTTACAACATTCAGGCTAAATTAATCATAAATCCGTAAAATAGAAGTGATGAGCTGAAAAAAAAGATGAAAAGAAAAAAATAAACTCATTGTCATTCACTACAAAGTGCACTACCTTGTTTTTTTTTGTCCAAAATTATGACCGCTTCAGTCGATGTGTCATCTCAAGGCTGCAGCTCCATCCTCACTGCGCTGCAGCTGTCATTTAATGGGTGGGGAAAGGAATGCGCTTTCCAGGGCGTAACATTAACATTGACGCCAAACCTGTTTGCTGAACAGAATGTCAGACGTGTGACTCAGTAACACTTGACATAATCTCGACTGTTTTGCGAAATGGGACCAAGGACGATGTCATCTTCATGTCTTCCATGTCACATAATACATTTAGTACAAATTTGTGCAGTACGATGGTAGTCTGAGTGGGACCCTGGCATGCAAAAATGTTTGCAAAGTCAAGGATTCAAAAGTTTGAGCAACTTCGAGCTTCAATTTAGTAGGCGTATTGACAGTGTGGAAATAGATTACGGAGTTGACAGAAAGTGGATGATTATTTAACTAAAGAAATTAAATTAAAATCTTCGTCAAGAGTTTCGAATTGATAATTGTTCTTCTTATAACAATATAATTGTACTAATTATTAGGCTATAATAACCAATTAGTCATAGAATATGCATATTGGTTGTTTATACTAAATATGTCTTGTTTTTTCTTCTGTTAGCCTTCGTGGCGGGGTAAAAGATCAGACTTTTCTGTCTATTTTCAAGCCTTTCTCAATAAATCTGTCTATTCTCCTTTAGTTAAACAACACGACCAGCGCAGGTGCAGGAGACTTTAAATGTACATCCAATAACGGTAACAAAAATGTAACAGTTTGGTTTATTTAAAATAAAATCAGAACATTGAGTGCACGTGTTGTGTACTTCCCTCAGTTCTCATCGCGTCTGAAGTGTCGCATCTCTGTGCTGCCCCCTGCCGGACATACTGGTCTCATCACACCTGACTTGGGGCGGGGTCTGTGTGCTACGTCGTCACTCACATGCGGTGTTGGACAAGAAGAGGTGAAATGAGGTAAATGCGCTTTTTATTTTCTTGGACAGACAATAGCTTGATTTTCGTAACATGCAAAGTGGATTTTGCAAGAAATGCACACAGAAGAACATAATTTGAGGTAGGCCACAATGATGATAATGCTCGAAGCAGAGTATTTGTGTTGCCAAACATTAAACGAAGGCTAGGTTTCATTAAAAAGTGTTTAAAACATTTTCTCCACTGATACGATGCCTATATCAAGTCTGATTGTACGTATTTGGGATATACTAGATTGACGCATTTTTGTAAATGTACTAGGCTAAATCGATAGACTTTTTTTCTTCATTTATTGAGTATAACTAAATAGGCTACAATTAATATTTTTATTTGTCTTCTCTTCAAATTATAAAAAAATGCATAATGATTGAGCAAAGTCAAATAGAAAACGTAATGAGATTAAAACAAAGCTTATATTTTTAAACGTGGACCTACAAACAAGTCTATCTTGTCTGACAGGTTTTTAGTGACACAAGTGTACTTTTCCTCAAGTCAGACGTTTTGACGGTTTTTGTGAGTTACGTCTAACAACGAAAATTCTGTTTTCAAGAGTTATTTGTTGTTGTCACCCATAAATAGCCTTCTGTATATTTTACCAGCTGCTGTTTATGTGTGTTCGCTTTGTCATGAATTTATAGACAAAAATTTTTTCAACTTTTCAGTCTAATATTCCAGTCATGAGGGACAGACTTGGCCACCTCCAGGCAGTATCACTGTCTAATGGCACTGCAGCAGAGCATGAAACTGCCCAAGCTCTCTCTCCATCAGAAAACACAGACTGTGATGACCCTCCTCAGGACCCCAGCACCAACCCCGACCTGGAAGCTGTCTTTGATGAGGCACTGGAGGCTCGCCGTCAGATTCAGTACATCCGCCTTGAAGTAAAGCGTCTCAGGGATCAAAACTCACATATTTTTACAGACGCAGTCTGCTCTAGTGCTTCTAATACCAATGACTCCAATGCTATTGCAGCTGACATCAAAACTCGTGGACAGGAGATGCTCGTGCACCTTCGCAAGATGGATTCCCACAGGAAAGAGTTAGAGGAAAAGTATGGCGTCAATTCACCGGTGTCAAGAATCGCCCGAACACAGTACGCCAGCATAAGCAACAGTTTTCGTGATGCCATGGTGGAGTACAATGAAGCTGAGATGAGCCATAGGGAGTCCTGTAAGGCATATATTCAACGGCAGATGGAGATTGTGGGGCGAGAGGTCACAGGTGACCAGATCGAAGAGATGTTGGAGAGCGGTCAGTGGAACGTCTTCAGTGAGAATATGGTTTCAGAAGGTAAAACGGCACGGTCTGCTCTCATCCAGATCGAGAGCCGACATACGGAACTGCTACAGCTGGAGAGACGCATTCAGAGCCTTCATGAGGTGTTTCTGGATGTGGCCATGTTAGTAGAAGAGCAGAGCTCAATGATAGACTACATTCACACCAATGTTCAGTCAACAGAGGTGGAGGTCAGGGATATCCTTGTGAAGCTGGAGCGAGCCAAGAGATATGATAGGAATAATCCATTTAAGAAAATGTTCTTCTGGAAACGATGAGAAGGACACAGATATCACAATGTCAAATAAATATATATTAAGCGATCAGATTTTTTGGTTTGTATTACGTATTTATATGTGTTTTATATGTGCTATTTAGGCAAATGTATATTCGTCTGAAGAAAAACAAACACATATCACACTAAGTTTGAATATAGACTTCACGCTGAAATAAATCTGTCAGTTTTATAAATATTTCTGTAGTTTGTGGGTTTTATGGCACCAGAATTTTCTCAAATATGTTCTTATATTTATATTAAACATGCATGTTTGCATCTTGCTGATTTGACAAATAATTCATTTTGTGCCTTTGGAGATTCAGAAATCCTTTATTTCTGTAGTTTGCACTTTTCAAGTGTTGAAAAATGCTTTGTATTCTTATGTGAAATGTATCTTGTCAATATAACTACATTTTATAGATAAATAAGTGAGGCATTGGATGACTGGTTAGTTGTAATGGATCTAACTATTTAATGTGTATGAACATCTGTATCAGCTGTATCTCATTCAGTCTGCATTCATTCAAAGTTTCGTAGCAGATGTCATAAATTAGAGTGTAATTTTGTTACACTAATTAGATCACATGTGCCTACCTCATGTGATATGTGATGTCCCCTACTCACAACTATTAAACTAACACATGCCAAGATACAAAAAACCTTTCTGACTGTGGTAAAGAAAGTTGCTAAAAGGACATTATTTTTTAAGATTGTGTTCCAGGGACAACTGTGCTATGTATGGTGATGCATTATAACACAGGGAGATGTGCTGTAGATTCTGTTGATTCACCTACATACACTACTGTTCAAACGTTTGGGGTCAGTAGGACTTCTTTTTTGAAAGAAATTAATACTTTGATTAAGCAATGATGCATTAAATTAATCAAAAGTTACTGTAAACATGTATAATGTTATAAAATATTTTTATTTCAAATAAATGCTTTCCTTTTTAATTTTCTATTTATCAAAGAATATTTTTAAAAGGGTATAACTGTTTCCACAAAAATATTAAGCAGCAGTAGTTTTCTACATCGATAATAAGATAATTGTTTCTTAAGTGCCATAGGATTAAAATGGATGTAAAAAGAACTTTCTATTCATCAAAGAACCCTAAAAAATGATCACCATTTCCACAAAAAAAATATTAATCAGCACAAGTGTTTTTGACATTGATAATTTTTTCTTGAGTGCCAAATTAGCATATTAGAATGATTTCTGAAGGATCATGTGACACTTAATGTCTTAATGTAATGACTGTTGAAAATGTTGCTTTTCCATCACAGAAAGAAAAAAAACATTTTATATATATTGAATATATATTTAAAATATATTGAATAGAAAACCTGTATTTTAAATTGTAATATTTTACAATATGCATATAATTTATGCATTTAGCAGACGCTTTTATCCAAAGCGACTTACAGTGCATTCAGGCTATACATTTTTTACCAGTATGTGTGTTCACTGGGAATTGAACCCATGACCTTTTGCGCCGCTAACGCAATGCTCTTCTACCACACACACACACACACACACACACACACACACCAAAAATATTGGCACCCCTGCATTTCTGTCAGATAATGCACTACTTCTCCCAGAAATTACAAATGCTTTGGTATTCTCATGTTTATTTCTTTCGTTTGTATTGGAACAGCACAAAAAAAAAGCAGAGAAAAAAGGCCAAATCTGAGACATTCTACACAGAACTCCAAAAACGGACTGTGTAAACATGCACACACACACACACACACACATATACATATATATATATATGTACACATATACATACAGCCGTGGCCAAAAGTTTTGAGAATGACACAAATATTAACTTTCACAAAGTCTGCTGCTACAATGTTTTTAGATCTTTTTGTCAGATGTTACTATGGTATACTGAAGTATAATTACAAGAATTTCATAACTGTCAAAGGCTTTTATTGACAATTACAATAAGTTTATGCAAAGACTCAGTATTTGCGGTGTTGACCCTTCTTTTTCAAGACCTCTACAATTCATCCTGGCATTCTGTCAATCAACTTCTGGGCCACATCCTGACTGATGGCAGCACATTCTTGCATAATCAATGCTTGGAGTTTGTCAGAATTTGTGGGTTTTTGTTTGTCCACCCACCTCTTGAGGACTGACCACAAGTTCTCAATGTGATTAATGTCTGGGGAGTTTCCTGGCCATGGACCCAACATTTCGATGTTTTGTTCCCCGAGCCACTAGTTATCACTTTTGCCTTATGGCAAGGTGCTCCAGCATGCTGGAAAAGGTATTGTTCCTTACCAAACTGTTCTTGGATGGTTGGGAGAAGTTGCTCCTGGAGGATGTTTTTGTACCATTCTTTATTCATGGCTGTGTTCTTAGACAAAAGTGTGAGAGAGCCCACTCCCTGATGCACTCACACCTGCCTGCTGCCATTCCTGAGCAAGCTCTGCACTGGTGGTGCCCCGATCCCGCAGCTGAATCAACTTTAAGAGACAGTCATGGCGCTCGCTGGACTTTCTTGGGTTCCCTGAAGCCTTCTTCACAGCAATTGAACCTCTCCCCTTGAAGTTTTTGATGATCCGATGAATGTTTGATTTAAGTGCAATATAGCAGCATTATCCTTGCCTGTGGATCCCTTTTTGTGCAAAGCAATGATAATTGCACGTTTCCTTGAAGGTAACCACCAGAGGAAGAACAATGATTTCAAGCACCACCCTCCTTTTAAAGCTTCCAGTCTGTCATTCTAACTCAATCAGCATGACAGAGTGATCTATAGTCTTGTCCTCATCAGCACTCACCTGTGTTAAAGAGAGAATCACTGACATGATGTCAGCTGGTCCTTTTGTGGCAAGGCTGAAATGCAGTGGAAATGTTTTTGGGATTAAGTTAATTTTCATGGCGAAGAGGGACTTTGCAATTAACTGCAATTCATGTGATCACTCTTCATAACATTCTGGAGTATATGCAAATTGCCATCATAAAAACTGAGGCAGCAGACTTTGTGAAAATTAACATTTGTGTCATTCTCAATTTTTGGCCACGGCTGTATATATACATACGGATTCGTAAAGAGAGAGAATGTAAGGGTACGAAAAAAATGTTGCCCAATGCCAGGTGAGTCATTTGTTCTTGCTCAGACTTGTGAATGAGTATTGTAGAAACGCCAAGACCATTCAACCTTTCCTCCTCCTTGGGTGTATTGCGACGCTCTATCGGGCTCGCGCTTGGCTTGTCCACTAGTCTAGTACTGCGCGAGATCTTTTCTTTTGAAAAACACATTTTCAAGATTTTATCCAATCCGTTATCCAAAATCCTAGTGGATTACTTTTGAAAAACCGGGCCCTGAGCGTCAGACAAGACAAGACACCGCTCTGTTAGAAACCGCAGACCAGGGTGGACGTTTTAAGATGAGACTGTCGGTCGCTTTTCGCTATGCACATCGGAGCCACGCGAGCATACGACGATCACGAGCGGGTGTCAAAGTTTTAAACTCAGAGAACAGATTCATACCTGTTAATAGTGCGGTTTATCTACGGGTTCGGGAAGCAAGTTCGACCGGCGGTACAAGTGAAACGGTAGTTTGTTTTAAAAGTCATCCACGAAAAAACGATGGACCGCTGTATGAAAGTGCTGTTGGGTAAGATCAAAACACACGCTATTAAGTCTCTAAACCTAAATGCGACAACACTTTTATGTTCTAAAGCACGCTGAATGTTTGTGTGATTGTAACCGTTTGGTTCTGAATATAGGCTATAGCTGCTTGACTAAAATATCCATTGTCTTGGCGTTGTTTTGGTTCCACGTGCTACCGGTGTTTGGCCGCCAGCTGATGTAACTTCTGCCTCCCGTTAGTCTTCCGTCTATACACCCTTTTTAATATGAACTGCGTTGTGTGCTAATTAGGCTGCATATCTACTGTGTTACTGTATGAATTCAAGTTTTCTTACAAACATTTTTTTTTGTATCAACGAAGGTTGAAAGCATGTCGTTCTTTGTAGGTCAGTGTTACACTGAATGTCCTCCTTTAACCCGCTCCCGTTGGCGATCACAATACTGACTTTATTTAAAGATTAATAGAGCCAATATCTGTGTGTTGTATCGGATTTTGCCAAATTTAAAACATGAAATCATAATTTTTTAAAAGACCTGGAAGTATTGTAATACAGGTTGAGTTTATAACACCGTTTTTAAAATATGTTGCTACACCATTGAAGTTATTGTCATACATGACGACCATCTCCAGTGTGACATATATTGCAAGACTATAGAAACAGAATAGTAATATAAAAAATTGAAAGGAAAGCTTCTTTAATGGGTATTATATTAAAGCTTGCCAAAAAACTGAGTTACAGTCATTGAAATGTGTTACAACAGTCTCCCCTAAAAGTCTTTAACAGATGGAAACTGTGTGGAACTTGTGTATCATTGCCCAATCAAACCCTACAAGTGACCCCTATGTATCTTTTTGATGTTTGTAAATGGAGTCAAAGTTCAGGTATCTGCTACTGAGGGTTAAAATAATCAAAGATGCCTTTGCAACCAGCCTTACAAAAGATGCTTACAGTGATGCAATAGACTCCACGATAACACAAGATAATTTTATCTGCTGCTAGTCAAAATGTGTTGGCCAACCTGCTTAAAATTATCATAATAAGCTGAGCAAACTGATTACTATTTATTGTGTCTTTATTGCTTTCTGTCATACTCAAAAACAGCACACCAGTCTAGTTGTTATGATAAACTGTATTTGTGTGGCAGAGATGCCAGTATAAAGGTTTTAAACTTCATCTGAGCAGGCACAGGGAGAACTTTAAGTGTTTAGAGAGGTTGAAGATCTACTTGGCTGTGGATGTAAAAAATCTGAGAAAAAAAATTCTCTCTGGTCATATTAGCAATTATTGTGTTAATATTAATGATAAAAGTTTTGGCCTAAAACTGGCAGCTATTGCTCTACTTTGTTCTGAGGTTCAAAGTCTGTGTTTCTGACTAGAACAGGCAAAATGATGGAGTACCGTTTAATGTGTGGTCAACATTGATTTTTGCTAAAGAGCAGTCAGGATTGAATAACCAAATTGTTTAAAATGCACATCAGCTTTGTAAGCTTGATAAGTAAAAATGTGTCATATGTTCATTCAATAAGAAGTTCTGTTCTGTTAGCAGAAGTTAATGAACATGCATGATGTTACTTTTGATGAAATATGCACTCTGTGTCCATCTTATTTACAGTGACATTGTTCAGAGGAGCAGAGAGGAGCTCAAAGCTATCAGAGAACCCAACCCAGGCCTCAAACCTACACTGGCTATCATACAGGTGTGACTTTGTGTTTAGATAAAGAGTTATGTGAATGAACCTCAGACACTGAATGCTGCATGTTTGTACTTATGATAGGCTGGTGAAGATGACGGTTTGCTGGAGGTGAATAAGAAGATGGCTGGAAAGGTATAACTGTTTGTCTTCCTTTCTGCCCAACATGCATTAAATAAATGGGTGCAAGTAACACAAATCTTTACGTTACATTTTAGTAGATGATTTTCTATTGATCGATAAGATGAATGGCAATGCAAACGGATAGCTTATGCATTGTTATATGCCCCGATTTTGTATCCACACAGATCGGCTTGAACGTAATGCAGATTTGTCTTCCACACCAGTGCAGAGAGGAAGAGGTCGGTGACGCTGCAAATCTGAAAAGCTATAAATAGCTTTTTTTGATTAAACAGAAACTATCCTCTTTAGAGAGGTCTGTCCAGTTCTCAGCTTCCTGAATTTTTGTCTCTATTCTACAGGTGATCGAGGAGATCTTGAGATTAAATGCGGATTCTCGTGTTCATGGCATTTTTTTGCACCTTCCTCAGTCCTTTCTCTCCAAAAGTGTCTGTAATGCCATCAAGCCACAGAAAGATGTGGATGGGTAAGCTAGAGGTTTTTTTTTTTTTTTTGGTTATGTTCATATGTGTAACCAAAGTCCAAAAAAATATATATTTTTTGCCATAACTGCCAATGGTGGGTGATTTGAGAATTTTCTAACTATGAATATTTCCTATCTGCCATGATACTGAATTTTGCATGGAGTTTATTAAAATTATTTTCTTTTTATGACAATTAAGTTATTTGGAAACTAGTCATTGCAGGACACCTTTAAATATATTATAGATACTGTATATTTATGTAAGATGTAAAACAAGAAGTTTCAAACTGTATGTTTGCAGGGTCTCTGATCTTAATGTTGGCCGTGTGGTGTTGGGGGATCAGAGAGATGGCTTTGCCTCACCTGTAGCTGGAGCTGTGCTGGAAATGCTTGCCAGGCATGGTGTGTATCTGTTTGCATTTTGGCATATGTTATTACATTTGCATTCAAAAGGTAAAATGTTTCATAAACGCTGCTAATTCTACTGAATAGAGTATTAAATATCCATATATGTCCATATATTAAATATATCCTCTAAAGATGAATGTACGCTACCGTTCAAAAGAAAAAAAAGGGAAATAAAAGTGTCATTCTCGTTAAGACTGCATTTATTTGATTAAAAATACAGTTAAAACCATAATATTGTGAAATATTATTATAACATAACTGTTTTCTGTTATATTTTAAAATATAATTTATTCTTCTTGTGGCAAAGCTGAATTTTCAGCAGCCTTTACTTCAGTGTCACATGATCCTTCAGGAATCATTCTAATATGCTGATTTGGTGTTCAAGAATAGGGTTGCGAAATACTGGGAATTTTCAAGACTGGAAAATTTCCATGGGGATTAACGGGAATTAGTGGGAATAAACTGGGAATTTGCAAAATTGCAGGAACAGGGATGTAGTAGGAAAAAAAAAATCTTGCAGCATAATCTTGGTTAAAACAATCAGATTTAATGCAATTTCAGTTGAATTTCTACCCTGCACATTCCTCAATCACATGCACACAGCACACTTTTGGTGTTACACTTGGGCTATTGAGGACACATCCCCTACATGCACTGTGCATTCCTTCATAACATGCACAGATCATTTCTTGAATCCTGAACACAAAATGATGTCAAACTGTCCATCTTGGTGAGTATTCACATAAGTTACATAAATATTACTTAAATTTGTGTTTAAATCTTTCTTGTGCTGTGTGTAAGCTACTGCGCAACAAAATTATACCATTGTTAAAACAAATACATTGGCTGAGCAAACATGAGGAGATAAAAAAAAACTGTCTTTAAATTACCCTCATTTAATTGCACACAATCCCCCCTAATCACCTAAGGGTAATTCCCCCTAATTTTCCAGGCTTCCATTCAAGTAAGTTTTGATATTACTTGGGTAAATATATTTGTTCCATGGTATTCGAGTTTAACTAGCAATACCTAAATGTGTTTATACTGTAGCTAGCTAGCCAGTAAATCAGATTTGAAAAATGTAAGCTAGTTAGCACTATTTCATTGATAATTTATGAGGCTAGGTATCATGTGCTAGCTAGCTCAAGCTGTGATGGTCTTTCTTGTACCGTCTGCTAGCCAGCTTTCTGTTATCATACAGAAGTACAGTACTGGTCAAAAGTTTGGACTCATTACTATTTTGAATGTTTTTGAAAGAAATCTATTGCGCTCATCAAGCCTGCATTTATTTGATCAAAAATACAGAACATAACGGTAATAATGTGAAGTATTATTACAATTTAAAATAATGGTTTTCTGTTTTAATGTACTATAAAATATAATGTACTGTATTTCTGTGATGCAAAGCTGAATTTTCATCAGCCATTAATCCAGTCTTCAGTGTCACACGATCCTTCAGATATAATTCTAATATGCAGATTTTTTTATTAATTTTGGAAACCGTTGTGCGTAATATTTTTATAACCTGTGATACTTTTTTCAGGATTCTTTGATGAATACAAATGTTAAAAAATAACAGCAATTATTTAAATAGAAATATTTTGCAAGGATATGTTAAATTGATAAAAAGTGATAGTAAAGATTTAATTTCTTAGAAAAGATTTCTATTTTGAATAAATACTGTTATTTTTAAGTTTTTATTCATCAATGAATCCTGAAAAATATATCACAGGTTCCAGAAAAATCAAAAAATGTTATTTGTAAAATTTGTATTAGTTTGCATGCATGTCAGCTTATGACTAAACAAAATGTTTATATTTATGTTTGTATATGATACAGTTTCTGTAAATTTCCTCAAATTTCCAATTAATTCCCATAAATTCCTGTTAAGTTTCCAACTTCGAAAATTTCCAAAAATCCCCAGATTAAGTTCCCATGGAAAGTTTCTGGAAATTTACGGGATATTTTCCGCCCCTTTGCAAACCAGTTCAATAAACATTTATTACTGTAAATGTTGAAAACAGTTGTGCTGCTTAATATTTTTGTGGAAACATGATACTTTTTTTCAGTATAAAGTTAAAAACAACAGCATTTATTTTAAATAGATTTTTTTGTATAAAAATTATAAATGTCTTTACTGTCACTTTTGATCAAACTAATGTGTGCTTGCTGAATAAAAGTGTCAATTTCTCTCCAAAAACATCTTACTGACTTTTTAGAATGCTAGTGTATTTTTTTTTTATTGTAACAAAGGTTAAATATACAGCATTTCCTTTTTTGTAACTCCCCTTTAGATGCCCCATTGGTTGGCAAGATGGCAGTGCTGCTGGGTCTTGAGGGACCCCTGAAGGCAACTCTTCAGTTTTTGCTGCAAAACAATGGCATGATGGTGCAGACCCACCAGTGGAGCTCAAAGCACTTGCAGAAACAGGTAAATGATTGATAATTGAGAGATACTTGGTCTTCAGGTCAATTTTTAGGTGTAGTTTGGTATTTTCAGCAGCAGAGGGCAATGCTGCTTTGTTTTAGCAGGGACATCGGCATAAATCATATGAGGCATACACTAATTGTCTTTCTTTCTTTCTTTCTTTCTTTCTTTCTTTCTTTCTTTCAGATCATGGATTCGGATGTGGTGGTATTCTTAGAAACTGGCCACAAGGGCCTCCCACCCACTTGGTTAAGACCGGGGGTGGCAGTCATTAACCTCAGCTCAGCCCTAATGGAAGGTAAATTTTCTTCAACGTAAAGATATTAAGCGTGGCACGGTGGCAGACATTATAACAGTTGATTTTTTACGTTGCTGGTATACGTAAAACATATAGAGCACTTCTTCACTTGAATAGTGTCATTTGAGAATTGAAGGAACTATTATAATTGTATTACCATGGAAGTGAAAGACAAGCATGTGATTCCTCTGAGACCGATTAAGTCAGGCACGCAGTTTTCTTCACCTTTCATTACCTGCCATCTCCAAGAGACCTTAATGGTTATAGAGGCCCATGCTATTTCCTCCATAACCCACGAATTCCATTAGTGTGGGAACATAATAAGACACAGCTAATTGTATTTCCTTAGATGCTCCGTCCGGGCCAACTTTTCATACATATGACCTTATCTCTTATCTAGAGCAACCTAACAGTTGGGAGCACAGGGCTGAAGCTGAATCTAGTGCTGGAGTTGGGCCTCTAAGTGCTGCGCTTAGAATGCAGGTGAGAGGCCTGTTGTTGTTTCTTCTTTCTATTAAAGTCTAAATAAATAGTTATATCAATGTAATATCTGAATTTTGAATGTTTTCATTGAAACATTCATTTCCTGTTTAACAATGTAAAGCTTTTACACAACAGTGCTCAAGAGACATTAATTATTAGCATCATTGTTATTATTATCATTGTAATTATCATTGAAAACCGTTGTGGTGCTTAATATTTTTGTGGAAACAGGATTTCAGGATTCTTCAATAAATAGAAAGTTCAAAAGAACTGCATTTTTTTGATATTGAAATCTTTTGTAAAATTATAAATATCTTTGTCACTTTTCATCAATTTACTAATTTTTGAACGGTATAGTGTTATGCCAAATCACAGTAGTTATTGCCTGTATGTTTTTTTTAGTATATATTTGTGCACATAATTATGCAGTGAATGAAGAAGTCATTTTGAAGTGTTTGTGGCTGCTGTTGTGATCTGCCAGCATGTAGTGAGGAGCAGCAGGAGGTGGATACAAGAACAGCAGTACCAGCCATGGAGGCTCCGCCCACTAAAACTTCAATCACTGTCACCTGTGCCTAGGTACGAGCAGCCTTGCCTTTTACTTTCTACAGAATATGCATCACTCAAACCGTTGCTTGTTTATTTGTGCACAGAACTAATTGGTCTCCATCTTTCTGTTTGCTTCTGTAACCCTCAGTGATATAGAGATCTCCAGGGCACAGACTCCCAAACCTATATCCCAGCTGGCTCAGGAGATTGGTCTGCTTCCAGAGGAGCTGGAGGCCTACGGAAACACCAAAGCCAAAGTCCATTTGTCCCTTCTCAACCGCCTCCAACATCAGCCTAATGGCAAATATGTCCTAGTGGCAGGGTGTGACATCAGTTTTTACTTCTGTCATTGAAGTTTAATTCATGTCATATTATTTATCTACGGGTGTGTTTACACTTGGAAGGTTTTGTTTGATTAAATTGATTGTTCTGTTAGCGCAGTTCATTTGGATATATGTGAATGCTGGCATCCGAACCTTTGTGTGCACCAATCAAGCAGACAGACCCACTTTTTTCGACTGAAAAATGAACATAATACAGCCCAAAGACATCTAAACGAACCAAAAGCAATCTCATCTTGTCATTGGAGCTATGTTCCCCATTACAGTTCGGTACAGGTGTTGGAACCACTGTCGGAACCAGCAGGTCTTCGTTTGTATGTGCAGGAGTTCCTGGCACGGTTTTGACTCCTTTGCATATTTCATAAGCTCTTAGTGAGTTTTAAGCTGGTAAAAATACCACCATATGTACACGCATGCAACGAGCGCATTCAGACTGACACACAGCGTTGTTTTGGATGTTTGGTAATTTCCTTCGAAAAATATATTTTAAAGGTGTCCAATCAGGTTATCATCTTGTCCTTATGCCTTTTGTTTTGTATCTTTAGATTCACTGTTAAAAGTGACAGTGTGTACGCTAAACGAACCAGGACTAAATGCATCATTTTCTTTTTTGCACCGAGAGAGAACCAAACTGCAATTGTGAACACACCCTGAAATGATACGGTACAAAAGCAATGATACAAAACTTAATTGAACAGCAAAGTTGAACGAAAACTGTATTGACTTAATTGTTGAAGAGGTTTTAATCTGCAAATGAAAGACTTTGGAATCGTTTTCATCAGTTAATGGCAGATGGATTGATGACCATCATAGTTGCACTGCAAGAACCTAAATAAGAAAAACACTCATACTTTTAAAGGTTAAAAGCATTTAAGGAAAACTTCAGGTCAATGGTTGTGTTTTCACGCTCACATCCGTGTGCACATTTGTACTCTGCCTCTAAATTCCTAGAGAGAGTGATTGGTGGGCCCAGGGATCTTATCTACCACTGGCTCTTGAGCCCACCAGGAGTCTACCTTTCATCTGTGTGTGTGAAGCGTGGCTCAGTCAGCTCCAAATGGGGGCCCAGGGTCTCTTTCATAACTTCAGGTCAATGGTTGTGTTTTCACGCTCACATCCGTGTGCACATTTGTACTCTGCCTCTAAATTCCTAGAGAGAGTGATTGGTGGGCCCAGGGATCTTATCTACCACTGGCTCTTGAGCCCACCAGGAGTCTACCTTTCATCTGTGTGTGTGAAGCGTGCTCGGGTCAGCTCCAAATGGGGGCCCAGGGTCTCTTTCATGTGTGTGGGGAATGCGCAGACCCCTGGCTTTATCAGCAGCCCCTTCCCTTAACTCTCCTTCTTTAAGTCCCGCTCTTTGTTCTGCCTACAGACGCTGTGAAGCAGCACTGCCCTCCCCACCCAGCCTACTCAATTACTGTCAGCCACTGGCATGCCTTTACTGCGCTGCCAAAAGAGCTGCTCCACAAAGACTGAGAGAGAGGGAGGGAGGGAGGATGCTGATGGGGAGCGGGTTTGCCGGCAGTCTAATGTAGTGAGATCAGAGGGAAAACGAAAATGAGGAAGGCAGAAAGATGAATAGATGTATAGTCACAACCTTCTCCCTTTGAATGTGGGAAAGCATGTGTTGATAATGTTTTCGGTCTGTGTTTTTCAGTATAACTCCCACTCCTCTGGGTGAAGGGAAGAGTACAGTGACCATAGGTCTTGTCCAGGCCCTCTCCGCTCATCTTAAGCTCAACTCTTTCGCTTGCCTGCGACAGCCTTCCCAGGGCCCAACGTTTGGTGTCAAAGGTGTGTTTTTGTGTGCTTGCTTTAGTTTGATATTGTAGTATATGGATAACAATAACTACCATAACAACATTTCAAGGTATCACAGATGCACTTCTTGAAGGCTGCACTAAAATGTAGGCATTATAATTATGCAACTTTTTCACTGTATCTTGTCCTTCTGTAGAGTAGGCAATCCCAGAATGCCCTGCATTGAGTTCAGTAAAATAAAATAAATTCAGGATGGTTAAATAAAATTAAACAAAGTTAATTATGGAAATAAAATTGAATTAGAATTTATTGTAAATATACAAATAAAAAAATACATGTAGTGTGTGTATTTATATAAATTATTTTCAAAATGGAATCAAATAAATGTAATTGTAATTAATTTTATTTTAAATTCTACATATTTATTTATATATGTATTTATATATATGTATGTGGAATATCATGTCATTAGCTTAGTGACATGCTAATGCCAAACTCTATTTAAATGCAATAGTTTGCTGTGTGAACAGCTATTTGTGTGGCGTTCGAAGTTGCTGCACATTTAGTACACAGCAGGGCAGTTCGCTAGATTTTGGATCAGAGCTCATGTCTGGCTATGTCAGACATATTGTCTTGTGTGTGTTTTCATTGCTGTGTGTTTGTCAGCCTGCTTCATTATTTTGCCTCCCTGCAGGAGGAGCGGCAGGTGGGGGATATGCACAGGTCATTCCTATGGAGGAGGTGAGTGACTACAGACATCCTGTCTCCCGTTATCACAAAGCCCTTTCCCTTAGTATGCCACAACTGATGACAGCCCTTAAAAAACCTCACACAGCCATTGAGACCAAGTAAAATAAAGCACAACGTCCAAAACTCTGAGACCAGTAAAAAAAAAATATTTTTGTGATTTTCTAATTGAATTTTTCTTATTACCGGCAAATATCAGCATATGAATTTCAAAAGTATAAATGGAAAAATAACGTAATTCGGAATTTGTTGTTTTATGATACATCCATGTTTTGCTTTAATAACAGTGTGCATGGAAATAATAATACTTTTTATTTTTATATTACATTTTGAATCTCATATTTTCTGTTATCTCAGAATTTTGGACAACACTGAATGTGTGTGTGTGTGTGAGCGCAGATACTGTCTTTATCAGAAGCTTCAGAAAACGGCTTACTCTCACTTTATTTTTTTTCCCTCAGTTTAATCTCCACCTCACAGGAGACATCCACGCTATAACAGCAGCCAATAATCTAGTGGCAGCAGCTATCGATGCCCGCATTCTCCATGAAGCTACTCAATCAGACAGGGTAAACAACTGCAATCATAATGTTTTTAATTTCACACAGGATGGTCTCCCTGGGATTTAATATTATGATTCATCAACAGTTAGTCAGTAGCTGTGTCATTAAAGAGGATTGTTTCTGGTTCTGTACAAGTCTATAACTGCATATTTATCACTTCCTAATGCTTTATTCAGCTATAAGTTGTTTTTGTCTTTTAGGCCCTGTACAGCAGACTAGTGCCATCTGTTAATGGTGTGAGATGCTTCTCTCCTATACAGATGGCTCGCCTACAGGTGAGTCTGGACAAAATCTTTGTACTTCTGACCTTTTTAACTTTTATTGCTTGTTAATGCCATCATCATTTGACACAGATGTTATTAGAGCAGTGGTTCTCAGCAAACTTCCAAGGGGGCCTCAAGATGACTTAAGGCAAAACAAGCATTAAAATAAATTAGAACTACTACATGATATTTTTTATTTTAATTCATCCCATCACATTCTTATTTTAATTTATCCCCTATTTTCACACACATACAAGAATCCCCTTTTTTCATTGAAGATCCATTGCTTCTGTGGTCTTGAAAAGCCTAATTTTACATATATACTATGCCAAACTAAATAATTTATCAGGATAAAACCATAAAAAAAAATCCTTATCTTTAATGCTTATTCAATAAATGTGAACTTTGAAGAACATTCTCCTCTTAAAGGGGTCATATGATGCTGCTAAAAAGAACATTATTTTGAAAAATGTTAATTGCCACATTCAAATAAAGATTTTAAAATGCAGGCTAAGTGTCACTAATTAAACAAGTATATATTCAGCTAATTGTCAGCCTCTTATATGTATGCTTCTCGTAAACAATTAGTCAGTATGCATTAGGGCTGCCCTCGACTAAAGATTTTTCTGGTCAACTAGTAGTCGTTCATTTGAATTGGTTCATTTAAAAGTTTCACTCCCTATAGATATATTTTTCATGTCTGTAATAAGGCAAGCATACTCGGATTTAATTATTTTACAAAAGCGCAACGTTTCGTTGTTATTCGGAGTGCACACGAATAAACGTAGAGTCTTTACAGATACAAAAGATGCATTACTCTTATCTGTATGACCAAAAATGAAGA